GGTTATAGAAAGTAATCAGCAATTATAAAAATAGGAGAAAACTGATGTTTTTCTAATTTCTAAATACTTACACATAATTTGAAATTTGTCCATGATGTCATAATATTAATGGTATTTTTATTAATGTTTTGTGATAGTTTGAATGAAAATGGCCCCATAGGTTCATAGGGATCTGCACTATTGGGAGGTGTGGCCTTTTGTGGTAAGTTGTCACTGGTGGTAGGCTTTGAGGTCTCAGAAGCTCAAGCCAAGCCTAGTTTCTCAATCTTCTCTCCCTGATGCCTCCTGATCTGGATGTAGAACTCTCAGCTACTTCTCTAGCTACATGTCTGTCTGCATGCTGCCATGCTTCCCTCCATGATGATGATAATGGACTAAACCTCTGAACTGTAAGCCAGCCCGAAAGAAATGTTTTACTTTGTAAGAGTTGCCATGGTCAAAGTATTTCTTCACAACATTCAAAACCCTAACCAAGACAGGTCTAAGACTCAAAAACAAAATTACAAAATACAGAACTCTCATATTTTGGTCAATTAAAATATCTGTAGTTTTTACAATAATTATCAAATTGTACTACAGATATTCTAAAATCAAATATACATGCAATAATACAAATCTATTTTTATGTGATTACAGTAATAGACATCTTAACATGCTTAAAGAAGTCTGGTTCTGTGTATTTTCCCCTTCTCAGGGTCCTCATACCTTTCAGGATGGAACTCCTCAGGATCTGGCCAGTATTTTGGATCTCGGTGAAGAACAAAGACAGGTATTGCCACCTGTGTCCCTTTGGGAATGAACACACCATTGATCTCAGCATCTTTCTTACTGAGCCTGTTAAGCCTGATAGCAACTGGGTGTAATCTCATAGTTTCATTCACCACCATGTCCAGATATTCCATCTCTACCAGGGCTTCATAAGTGACAGGTGCCTGGGAAGATTAAAAAAAAGATTTTGTTGATTTGAGATTTGAAACTAACTTTCATGTCAATCTACTCAGTACTATCAAGTTTTAGGAACTCCACATTCAACCCAGATTAATGATTGGATTTACCATTGATAAGTCCTATTCACTGCACTCATGTGTGTTGATGTAGTAAAGATCCACTGAAATGCATGGTGAAGTGAATATGGAAGAACATTCACATAAGCTTACACATAGGTCCCAAATCTTCAGTTTTCCTTTGTACTGTTTTCCATTTAAGTAGTAATGAATGGCATATTATTTCCATCCCAT